GAGTACCCCCATATGAGCCCTCGCACCGCGACCCGCCCTCGCACCGCGACCCGCCCTCGCACCGCGACCCGCCCTCGCACCGCGACCCGCCCTCGCACCGCGACCCGCCCTCGCACCGCGACCCGCCCTCGCACCGCGACCCGCCCTCGCACCGCGACCCGCCCTCGCACCGCGACCCGCCCTCGCACCGCGACCCGCCCTCGCACCGCGACCCGCCCTCGCACCGCGACCCGCCCTCGCACCGCGACCCGCCCTCGCACCGCGACCCGCCCTCGCACCGCGACCCGCCCTCGCACCGCGACCCGCCGCCGCCCCCGGCCGCTCGCCCGCCGCGGCACCGCCGCCGCCGCCCCCAGCCGCTCGCCCGCCGCGGCACCCCCGCCGCCGCGCGCCGCCCCCGGCCGTTCGCCCGCCGCGGCACCGCCCCCGCCGCCCCCGGCCGCTGCCCCGCCGCTCGCTCGCCTATGGCCCAATGGCTCAATCGTCGGCTCAGCAAGTGGCTCAGCCGTGGCGGAGAGGAGCGGGGCGCGGTCTTGGGTGGCCGCCCTCCCGGCTGCCGGGCGTGGCCATGGCTGCAGCGCCTCCGAACCATATGGCCGGGGTGGCTAGGCGCCGCTCCGCGCCATGGCCGAGCGCGGCAGGGGCGTGTCAATCTGGCCACTCGGAGGCCTGGCTACGGCCGATCCCTGTGTGTATGGCCCGATGGCTCAATCATCAGCTTAGCCATGGCGGAGAGGAGCGGGGCGCGCGATCTCGGGTGGCCGCCCTCCGGCTTGCCCGGCGTGGCCATGGCTGGGCCATCAGGCCATACGCCGGCGATCGGCTGCAGCCATGGCCCTCCGTTTGGCTGTACGGCCCGGCCATGTGGCGTGGTGGCTGAGCGGCGGCTCAGCCATGGTCCATGTTGATCGGAGCCATCCTCGAGTGTGGCCGTGACGGCCGAGGCCATGGCCTAGCGCGCGGTAGCCATGGCCAGTGCCGGAAAGCTAACCCTAACCTTGAGCTAACCCTAACCCGAACCCTAACCCTAACCCTAACGACCGACTTCGCGCCGCTGCAGCAGCCGAACCCGTCCCGACCGTCACCGCCACTGCCGTGTCCTGAGAGTGCCACCATCGCCGCCACCATCCCTGGCCAACACCGCTGAGTCCACCCCCGCCAACGCGGCCGCCCTGTCGCACCGCCGCGGCCTGAACCATCCCTTCGCTGCTACCGGGGCACGCGGTGGCTCTCGGCGCGAAGCTAGCGACGAGCGGGCGGAGCAGCGACCGCGTGAAGCTACCTAGCAGCGGCGAGGGCGACAGGGAGCCCCGGGCAGCGGCGCTGATGACGGCGGGAGCCCCGGGCTAGCGCTGGAGGCGATTGAGTCGGCGGTGAGGGAGTCAGCTGGCCTGGCGGTGGCCCCCAGGGTAGGCGTTGCTGGGTCGGCGGCGGTGACTTGACAGCTTGGTGACGAGGGCCGTGGCGGGAAAAGGGCGGAGCGAGGCGGACCCAGTCGCCCCCGCGCCCCGCCGCCCCCCAGAGCCCCAGTATGTGGTGAAGCGGCGGTCCGGTGGCACTGGCGACGACAGCGACGGCGGCGGCAGTGGCGACGAGGGCGACGGCGAGGCGGGCGAGGATCTGGCGCGCCTCAATTGAACGAACCCACGCCGAGCGACGCTCCCGGCGTGCGGTCTTGCTTGACAGGTGCCTCGCTACGTGCGCCGCTGCGCCTGCGCTCGGCCCTCGCTGCCTGCGCCTGTCTGTCAGCCTGGACACGCTCGCGGCGCTCGCGGCGCAGTCACTGCGGCTGGTCCGAGAGCGGGCGGCACGCGCGTGGGCACGCTTTCGGCTCGCCCGCTACGGCGGCGCGGCCGGGAATTTGGGGGCGGCGGGGCAGGCGGGCTGGGCGGGGCAGGCAGGCTGGCGGGGCGCGGCAGTCGCAGTGGTGGGTTGAACAAGTGGTGAGGCTGCTCGCTGGAGGCCGGAGACAGCGCCCTCTGCTAGGCCGAGGAGTGCGCGGGCAGGCGGGGCTAGCGGGTGGCGCCGCGGCGCGACGCGGGCGCGAGAGGGGGGCAGCCGCACCGCAGACCTACACAGAGCCCCTTGCGTAGCAGTGGCGCGTGACAGCTTATGTTGGTCAATCGTTGGTCAATGAACAATCGTGTGAGGTCCGAGCTGTGTCGCTCCAGCGTGCCGTCATCTTCTGTCCCATACCGCGTTTGGTCTCCAGTTCGAGCCTGGCTGTTCTTCGCCTTCCTGCTGCGACGCAAGTAGACCGCTCGTCTGTCTAGGCAATCAGCCTTAACCGAGCGGGCGGTCCGGCCGGCCGCTGGCTGCAGGGCCGTTGGAATGAATGGCCGAGCTCGGTGTGGACTTGCGTCCTCGCGTCAATCGTGGTTAGTTACAGGAAGGACGACGGACGGCGTACCCGTATCCCGGGATGGTGAATGACACGCCCCATAAAAGCAAGCGTCTCAACGTTTGATTGGTTTGAAATAATAAAGCTACATACACACGGCTCAACTTCCCCAGCACCTCAAGACTGGCAGGATTCAAATTTGCGCTACGTTGTAAATTCACGATCGATCATTGACCAACAATGACCAACATAAGCTGTCACGCGCCACTGCTACGCAAGGGGTGCTGTGTAGGTCTGCGGTGCGGCTGCCCCCCTCTCTCGCCCGCGTCGCGCCGCGCCGGCACCGCCCGCGAGCCCCGCCTGCCCGCGCACTCCTCGGCCTAGCAGAGGGCGCTGTCTCCGGCCTCCAGCGAGCAGCATCACCACTATTCAACCCACCACTGCGACTGCCCCGCCCCGCCAGCCTGCCCCGCCCAGCCCGCCTGCCCCGCCGCTCCCAAATTGCTGGCCGCGCCGCCGTGGCGGGCGAGCTGAAAGCGTGCCCACTCGCCCACTGCCCGCTCGCTCACTGCCCACGTCCGCACCGCAGCTCGTCCGAGCGTCACTTGCCGCGATGCCGAGTGTCGTGGGCCACCTCGATAATCCGGAACGGTACACCGCGCGCCGCGCGGCGACCCGCTCGTCGGCGGCGCGTTCGTCCTCGCGCTGCTCAATCGCCGTGTACACCAAGCCCGCCTCCGGCGGCCACTACTTCCTGCTCCGAGGCAAGGAAAAGCCCCTCCGAGGCACGCACCGCTGGACCATGACCGACGGCACGGCCATGCGTGGGACCACCCCCATTGGCGCCACCGCGCCCGGCGTGCTGCCCTCGGACGACGGCGACGGCCTCGACGACGCTGACCTCGCCGCCGCCATCGCCAACTCGCTCGCCGACTTGTCTCCGCCCGAAGAGCCTCCCGTGGGAGCGGCCTCGGCGAGCTCGGCGGCGGCGGGCGCGGCGGCAGGCGGTGCGATAGCAGCCGAGTGCATCATCTGCTTCGAGGAGCCCAAGTCGATGCTCAACCGGCCGTGCAAGCACCTCATCTACTGCCAGACGTGCGCGCCGAAAATGCTGCGCCTCCCGTGCGGCGTCTGCCGGCGCAACGTCGCCAGGTGCGAGCGCGTCTTTCTTTGAGCCAGACGCGAGCTACCGGTGCATGGCGTGTGGGGCGCGTGCGCACATAGCGTGGTCGGGCCTGGGGGTGCTTGTCGAAGAGAGAGACCGCCGTGCGCCGACGCGGGGCCTCTCAGCGGGAAGGGGAGAGCGCACGGCCATGTGGACGGCTGCATGCTGACCTTGCCGTAAAAACCGCTCTCTAGCAGCATCTCTCGGTACGCTCGACCTCCGCGGCGTCCAGGGAGCAGACTCTCATCAGACGTGAGCTGTATGTCTGTGTGCGCGCACGTCTCTCCACGCAAAATACACTGCGAGCCAGGCGCCCGTTCGCGCCACCCCAACATCAGACAACTGAGACACCGTGCAAGCGTTGTCTACGCTGCTGGACATTTGCGTCGTCTGGATGCGCCTGCAGCACCACCGTCACTGCCTCCGCGCCCCCGCGCTGCACCTTCGTTGCCACAACACACGCTGTGCCCAGTGCGAAGCAGCCACGCTACTTGCGGGAGGGCCTGCAGCGCCGCCACTATTGCTTCGGTCGCGCCCGCGTCGGTGCTGCGCGCTGCATGCATGCATGCCAGCCCGGGGCGCCTGTGTCGCTGTGTGCTACCTTCGATCCCAGCGTGCAGCGATCCACGGCTGTCCTGAGACCTGACCGCTGACCGCGCGTGTTCGCCGCGTGAGGGCCGCACCTTCGAGCCCAAGATATCTTCGTCGGTAGAGAATACTGGCGTCACGACGCTTTGGTCACTAACATTATATATCCGCCGCTAGTCAGTGCACGGTGGGCCCCCCTGCTTGGCCACAAAATGTGTGAAAGGGAAGGCGTTCATCTCGCGCGGCGGCTTCGCCATGGCGAGCAGCGAGGTGGCGGCTATGATGCGGCAACGCGCACAACGGCTCCGCTGTCAGAGAGGGTTCGTGGCGCAAGGAACAGAGGGGCGGTAGTCTCACCATCGCCGAAGCGCTCGCTTCCGCCTCGACACCGAATCCGCGGCAGCCACTGCATGGAATCCGCGGCGCGTACCTGGCAGGACAGAATCGGGGTCACAAAACGGCAGCGAAATTTCCCCGGCTGCTGCTGCTGCTGCTGCATGGATGGCGTTACCGCCCCCTGCCTGCAGACTGCCCAAAGCGCACTCGCGGAATGCGACTCGTCCTCGCGGGCCGCTGGACCGCCCTCGCGGGCTCGGCGGCCTCGCTGTCCGGCGGCAGCTCCACCTCGTCCTCCTCGCTCAACTGCCAGTCCGCCAAGCGCCGCCAATCTCGCATTCGCGCGCCCGCCGCCGCCCGCCCGCCCTCGCCTTTGCCCTCGCCTTGCCGCCGCCGCCGCCACCAGCATCCCTGCCTTTGCTCGGCCGACGGCGCGGCGCCGCGGCGACGAGCAACCGGCCAGCCTCTCCGGTGACGTGGAGCAGCGGCGTGGACCTGCCGAGGCGGGGCACGGCGAGAGATGCACCTCTCAGGCTTGCTTATTCCCTAAGCATCGAGGGGAGAAGCGACGCAGGGGGCGCTGCGGTTGCGGCGGGGCTGGGTGGGTGGCGGGGCGTGTGCGCCCACCCGCGCGGCGAGGAGGAGGGCACCCAGCGGGGGCGGAGGCGGAGGCAGAGGCGGGCGCGTCGGAGGCGGCGGCGAGGTCGGCAGAGGAGAGGCGCGCGACGGTGGCGGAAGTGTCAGAGGCGTGCCTCTCTCTGCGCGGATTGCGCGGAGCATGGTCCCGTGGATGGTCTCGGCGCGGAGGGTGGCGGAGAGGTCTGCGGTCTCCGCCTGCTGGGCGGAGGAGTGGGTTGGGGAGGAGTGGGTTGGGGAGGGGTGGCGAGGCGAGTCTGTCGCCTTCCCTCGCGCGCCGCCGAGACTGCCGCCGCGCCACCGCCGCCTTCCTCCACGCCCAGAAGCCAGCGCGTTGATCGCCCCCGTCCGCGCACAGCATCGAGGAGAAGCCTGCTCTCCCGATCCAAAGAGCGGTTTGCTCCTGCGCGGCGGGCGGGCGGCGCACGTGTGGGCGTGCAGCATAGGAGGCGCGCGGCGAGAGAGCGTGAGCAGCAGTTACTGCCTGCAGAGAGCTGGCAGAACGCGAGCGAGACGTGGGATGTTTGGGTGTCGTGTCGAGTCGAGTCGACCTACGCGCCCGCTCGGCAAGCCTCGACGCGGCGCAGGCCGTGACGGCTGGTGCTGCACGCCGCCATCGCAGCGTGTTGAAAAGGCGCTCTTGTCGCCGCCGCGGTGGTAGTCGAGCGCGTCGCACACGTCGTGTCAAAGTAAACGGCGCGACAGCCACAGCTTGGAGGAGGCTGCCGCCTCGAGGCCGCCAACGCGCCGCCTCCGAGCGGGCTGAGCGGAACGCGCCTCACTGGGTCGAGTCCGCGCCCACGACTCGTCGATGAGGAGCGGTGCTGCTTGGGCAGTCGATCGGCTCTCCCGCTCGGGCTCTATCGGCGCTCGCGGGCCGCGGCCACCTTGGCCCTGCCGTGGCAGTAGCGGCCCACTGATGGCAGTCCGACGTGCACGCGGCTAGAGCGGCCGCCGCTCGCGAGAGCGACCGCGTCCGACGCAGAGACGAGAGCCGGGAGCGACGGCCGTGGAGCCAAAGGTGAGGCAGCGTGCCGTGCTCATGGCCGAGAGGGTGTCGAGCGAACCGCGCGAAGGAGGAACCGCGAAGGAGGAACCCGACCAACCTCCCCCCAGGTCGAGTCGGAAAAGAATTTGAGGTGCGGCGCGCACTGGCACAACACAGGAAAACGAATTTTACCACGAATCTTCCGGAAAGAATTTTACTCAAAACCGCGAAGGGGGGTCGAGTCGGAAAAGAATTTTACCGCACCTCCGTCGCACAACACTGGGCACGGGACTGGCGCGCATTTGACGTGCCTAGCGTGCGGGGAGAGCGGCATTGTGCACGGTGCGGAGTGCATTGCCGTTCTTAACGGAGTCGCGCTTAGGCGGCTGGGCGGCTCCGGTGGTTTGCCTGTGATAGTGCTAGCACGCGCCAGTCCGCACCTGTGTCGAGCCTGTCTGCTGTGAGAGAGAGTTTTGTTCGTTAAATCGTCTTTTCTCCTGTCATATAAAGAACATACAGTGTTTTTGCTTGAGATGGGGACGGTCGGATGTCCCTGGGAAGACTTATTCCCACGGACACGTGTATGGCGCTCGCGTGGGCCGGCTTTGGGGAGGGTCCGGCTGCAGAGGCCAGGGAGGAGCTGGAGGAGATAGCGGAGACGGAGAGCATCGATCCCCTTCCCACGAAGGTGGGCAGGGGTTGATCTTGCACTGTCTGCTTGTGCACTCGCATGCTGTCGGTGTTGCAGAGCGACAGCGTGGGCACAAGTCAGCTGTGTGTGCGGGTGTTGCGTGGAATGGTGGTTGTAGAGGGTATGGGAATGGGGGTGTAAGAGGGAGACGCAGCGAGCAGCTTGCGACGTCACCACCGCCTTCCTCCCTTGCAGGTGGTGGTCGGGACCACTGCCGGCATCTACAGCGAACACTACATCTACGTCGAAGACCGGCTGTTTGACGGCCGCCAGAAGCACGGCGTTGGGAGGGCACGCGGTGTTCGAGTGCAGGTGCTGTTCTCCAGCAGTGGAAGTTCCTGTCGCTCGCGAGACAAAGGCGGCCAAGCCATTCGTTACTCGGCCAAGCCATTCGTTACTCGGCGCGCTGGTGCACTGGGGCAGCACCGGAACAAGTGGTCTAACGCAGAACAGAGCACGCCAATACGGCCAATGACCCCGCTGTCGCCAGTGAGCGCCCCGCAGCAGCTTAGTACGCCGCCGCAGCTGTGCAAGCGGTGCAACTGGGGCGGCTGCACACTGCCCGAACGCCACCTCGGGCCGCACTCCATCGAGCAGCTGGCTCGCAAGCGCGACAGGAAGGTCGAGGCTTGTGTCCCCGCGCCCGATGAACCCGATGCAGAAGATCGGGCGGTAAACGCGATCGTCGACGTGGAGTTGCTCACGCGACTTCCGGTGAAGTACCCAGAGGAGTTGCCTGCACATGGCGCGGAGGTGATGGCGGTGCACCACAACGCTCAGATTATGACGAGCAAGGACTGGCTGGCGGGGGGGTGCAGCTCGTTCCAGACGGATCAGGAGGCGGCCAAGGAGGCGAGGCCAGCCGCAAGGCTTGCTCGTCTGTACCCTCTCGTGCTGCAAGGCCCACTGCTCCTCCGCGACAGGTGCTCGCCTTCATCATCGAGCACAAGACGAGCGACGGGATGACGATGCCGGGAGCGGAGCCGCTGCGGGGCCTTGCCTTGCCGGGGGAGGATGCGGCGGCGCAGCTGGCACACTCGGTGCTCATCACGAGCGACAGGATCAACGAGGCGCTGGAGGCGATACCGGGGTTCCCCGCGCTCGTGAGAGCGGCGCGGCGAGGGGGGGCGGGGGGGCTCGAGTTGCTGCATGGGTGGGTCTTGTGGAAGCAAGAGGAGGAGCTGCAGCTGTGTCTGCACCACGATCGAGAGGAGGAGTTCGGGAACGACCACGTGCGTGATCGCGTCGTCGACCGTAGCGTCGTGATCGCCCTCTCGGGCGGTGGGCTAACGGCGATGCAGGTGCTTGGCTGCCTGCCGACGCGCTACGGAGCTGCGCCAGGAAGCGCTTTGTCGTTCCATTCGGGGCTGTGGCACAAGTCATGCCCGCCGGAGGACGGAGATGAACCGGTGGTGAAGCTCGTGCTCATGTTCGGCTACTACCTCGAGCCAGAGGAGGTGCAGTGGCGGACCCACCCGCAGTGGCGTGTCGGCGACGAGCTACCGCGGCGTAAAGTGGGACGAAACCGAATCTTCTAAAATAAGTTCAGATCCTGGAGGCCCTCGAGGGGGGGGGCGGGGCAGGGATTACCTTTAAACGGGGGAGGGACCTTCCGAGGGACCTTCACAGCACGGACGAAACCAACCAAAGGCTTGTGTCACGCGCGTGGGCTACGGGGCTGCGAATACAGTGCGCTTTCCCTCTTGCCGTGCCGCGCCGCGCCCTCTCGCCGCACCGTGCAACGCTGCCCGCGCAGTGCCACGCTGCGCCGCGCCGCGCCGCCTGACCCCTTGTCACGCCGCCGCCCCTTTGCCCGTGCGCAGAGACATGCAGGACGGGTCTGGGGCTGCCCTCGGCAATGCCGTGACGCGTGCGGTTGACTCTTTGAGCACGGCACTCAATACGGAGAAGGCCGAGCATGCCAAGACTAAGACGGAGCTTGAAAGGACCAAGGCTAAGCTTGCGGAGAGGGAGACGGAGCTTCGTCAGGTTCAGGCCCAGCTTGCAGCGGAGACGGATGAGCATGCCAGGACTACGACGAAGCTTAACCAGACCAACGCCAAGCTTGCGGAGAGGGAGACGGGCGCGGCAAAGCGCAAGCGGGAGGAGAAGCAGGAGCAGGGAGCCGTGGACCTCACGTGCTACAGCACGGCGCTACTGGCCGGCAAGACCTCCGCCGGCGGCTGCGTGCTGGTGCCATGGACAGGCGAGATGAAGTCCATTGCCTGGGTGCTGAAGGCGCCAGACCCGACCAATCCGTCTTGGCTTCACGTCGAGTGCTCCATCAAGGCCGCCAAAAACGTCCCCATCGTGGAGACTTTCAACCCGCGCTTGGTCGTGCCCGTCACCCCCGACAACATCCGCACCCTCCTCGAGGAGGTACTCGCGCCAGAAAACCTGCGCAAGCTCAAGAACACGCCCGATCAGGACCCAGCGGAGTCAGAGGCTGCCTTCTTCAAGCGTGCGCTACTTCAGACCACAGCATCGGTGAAAGGCCGCAGCAACGCCCGCGACATTGACGGCGCCCTTGTCGACTCCATTGTTGCGGTCATTGAGCGCTCGTGGCCTTGAGACTGGACACTACAGCCGTAGCAGGTCAGACTGCTTGGCCTGCGCGGATTTGCTCGAGCCTCGACCTGCCGGTCGGACCTGTCCGTCATGATCTCTCACTTCTGTCGCGACTCTCTCTTGTTGTGCACGGTGCGCCGTTCCCGTTGCAGCTTGCAGCGGCGTTGTGCCTTGTGAACACACGGTCACGGAGTCAGTCAGAGGCTAGTTCGTTCACTCCAACACGCGATTCTTGAAAAAGCTGTAGCGCCGCCTCCTGCCGCACAGTGGGTCGGTCGTGGTAGTAGTTTTGGCCAGCGGCTGTCCCCAGCACACCAAAGCGCTCCTACCAGCCGCAGCCCAAGCCCGGGCCTTCGTGCTTCGGATCCCAGCGATCCACGGTGACGCGTGAGGGCCGCGCCTCCTTCGAGCCCAAGATATCTTCGTCGTGTAGAATACTGGCGTCACGTTTTGGTCACTAACTTTCTATATCCACCGCTAGTTAGTGCACGATGCCCCTCCCTGCTCGGCCACAAAATGTGTGAAAGGGAAGGCGTTCATCTCGCGCCTTCGCCATGGCAGGGAGGTGGCGGCGATGATGCGGCAACGACTGGCAGTACTCTCTAGAGTATGAGGAGGGCTCGCCCCCAGTGAGTCCACTGTGTGCTTGCTTTGCTACCGACGATAATTCTCGCCACTGGACACGCACGTGCGAAGCTTCCTTGCAGTGTGGCCAGTGTGGTGCAGTGCTTGCCCCCACGCAGCGCGACCCGACGCAGCGCGCGCGGGCGCACGATACACCTCTCTTCCTCTCGCCCCGCGAAACAGCAGCGCCGCGCGCGACTTGCACGCCGATTCTGGCCACTTCTGGCCACAATACAAAACCTACTTTTTACAGGTCTCGTGAGCCTAGCCCCCCCTAGGCCACGTCCAATGTCTCCGGCCACCGGCCACTGCCTCCCTGTAAAGTAGCAGCTCCCAGGGCTATGGCGGCCTCCCAAGCGGCCGTGGCGCCCGTCGGCGGTGGTGGCGGTGGGCGAGGGTGATGACGAGAGTAGAGGGCGAGGCGATGAGGCGCCGCTCGACGACTTTGTGCACGCCAAGTAGCAGGGAGTAGTCCAGCAGCCGAGAGGCGGGCCACCGAGTCCGTGCGCGTCTTCTCGCCTGCGCACAGTGAACGAGAGGGCGAGACCTCGGTGAGTAGTGATCGGCTCGTCGCAACACACGCAGAGAGGGCGGGGCCTCTTCTGTGAGCAGGCAATACACCCGCCCTTGTCTCTCTCTCGACTCTCTCCCTCGTTCGCCTGATTTAGCGTGGCGGTCGACACACGAGCCCTTGAGGTCGCACGCAGGGCTGGCGACTGCAGCGGCTCGGCTCGGCGCACGTGGAAGAACTTTGTCTGCCCGTGCGTCGTGATCGAGTATTCGGCATGCCGTAGACGTGTCGCGGACACGCCCTCTCCTCTCCACACGTGGCGATGGGAGCAGCCACCCGAGAGGCGAGTGAGCAGAGAGCGAGGCTGGCAGTACTGTGCCGGCAGTACTGCGGCAGCAGGAGGAGCATCGACTTGACCAAATAGCGACCTGCAGACACCGCGACTCGGGGCCTCACCCGGCATGTCAAAGTACTGAGAGAGCCGAGTCTGGCGCGTGCCGTCGGCGGAGAAGAAGAAGAGTCCGCCGCCGCGCCCCTCGGAGAAGTTGCGAGTGACAGCTCCATGCCGCCCTCGAGCGACCCGGTCTGCCACGCGCACAACGGCTCCGCTGTCAGAGAGGGTTCGTGGCGCAAGGAACAGAGGGGCGGTAGTCTCACCATCGCCGAAGCGCTCGCTTCCGCCTCGACACCGAATCCGCGGCAGCCACTGCATGGAATCCGCGGCGCGTACCTGGCAGGACAGAATCGGGGTCACAAAAGGGCACGGAGTAAGGGAGGAGGGAGTGAGGGCAGACGAAACGGCAGCGAATTTCCCCGGCTGCTGCTGCTGCTGCTGCATGGATGGCGTTACCGCCCCCTGCCTGCAGACTGCCCAAAGCGCACTCGCGGAATGCGACTCGTCCTCGCGGGCCGCTGGACCGCCCTCGCGGGCTCGGCGGCCTCGCTGTCCGGCGGCAGCTCCACCTCGTCCTCCTCGCTCAACTGCCAGTCCGCCAAGCGCCGCCAATCTCGCATTCGCGCGCCCGCCGCCGCCCGCCCGCCCTCGCCTTTGCCCTCGCCTTGCCGCCGCCGCCGCCGCCAGCCCCCCTGCCTTTGCTCGGTCGACGGCGCGGCGCCGCGGCGACGAGCAACCGGCCAGCCTCTCCGGTGACGTGGAGCAGCGGCGTGGACCTGCCGAGGCGGGGCACGGCGAGAGATGCACCTCTCAGGCTTGCTTATTCCCTAAGCATCGAGGGGAGAAGCGACGCAGGGGGCGCTGCGGTGGCGGCGGGGCTGGGTGGGTGGCGGGGCGTGTGCGCCCACCCGCGCGGCGAGGAGGAGGGCACCCAGCGGGGGCGGAGGCGGAGGCAAGAGGCGGGCGCGTCGGAGGCGGCGGCGAGGTCGGCAGAGGAGAGGCGCGCGACGGTGGCGGAAGTGTCAGAGGCGTGCCTCTCTCTGCGCGGATTGCGCGGAGCATGGTCCCGTGGATGGTCTCGGCGCGGAGGGTGGCGGAGAGGTCTGCGGTCTCCGCCTGCTGGGCGGAGGAGTGGGTTGGGGAGGAGTGGGTTGGGGAGGGGTGGCGAGGCGAGTCTGTCGCCTTCCCTCGCGCGCCGCCGAGACTGCCGCCGCGCCACCGCCGCCTTCCTCCACGCCCAGAAGCCAGCCAGCGCGTTGATCGCCCCCGTCCGCGCACAGCATCGAGGAGAAGCCTGCTCTCCCGATCCAAAGAGCGGTTTGCTCCTGCGCGGCGGGCGGGCGGCGCACGTGTGGGCGTGCAGCACAGGAGGCGCGCGGCGAGAGAGCGTGAGCAGCAGTTACTGCGGGCAGAGAGCTGGCAGAACGCGAGCGAGACGTGGGATGTTCGGGTGTCGTGTCGAGTCGAGTCGACCTACGCGCCCGCTCGGCAAGCCTCGACGCGGCGCAGGAAGCCGTGACGGCTGGTGCTGCACGCCGCCAGTGCAGCGTGTTGAAAAGGCGCTCTTGTCGCCGCCGCGGTGGTAGTCGAGCGCTTCGCACACGTCGTGTCAAAGTAAACGGCGCGACAGCCACAGCTTGGAGGAGGCTGCCGCCTCGAGGCCGCCAACGCGCCGCCTCCGAGCGGGCTGAGCGGAACGCGCCTCACTGGGTCGAGTCCGCGCCCACGACTCGTCGATGAGGAGCGGTGCTGCTTGGGCAGTCGATCGGCTCTCCCGCTCGGGCCCTATCGGCGCTCGCGGGCCGCGGCCACCTTGGCCCTGCCGTGGCAGCAGCGGCCCACTGATGGCAGTCGACGTGCACGCGGCTAGAGCGGCCGCCGCTCGCGAGAGCGACCGCGTCCGACGCAGAGACGAGAGCCGGGAGCGACGGTCGTGGAGCCAAAGGTGAGGCAGCGTGCCGTGCTCATGGCCGAGAGGGTGTCGAGCGAACCGCGCGAAGGAGGAACCGCGAAGGAGGAACCCGACCAACCTCCCCCCAGGTCGAGTCGGAAAAGAACGCGTGGGTTGTGTGTTTTCTTTCTTTCTTTCTTTACAGGAAGGGAGAGAGCGACGAGAGTGGGACGGCCGCGAGGTGGCACGAAGGTTGAAGCGAGAATCGGAGAGAGACTGCGAAGAGAGATAGGAAGAGGCAGACTCCCTAGGGTAGGCGACGGCTAGCGCATCACACTCCTCTCCTTTAAATCCCTGTGTGGTGGCGGCGTGCCGTTCTCCCATCCCTCCCTTGGGTTGTCTGTTTTCTTTCTTTCTTTCTTTAACACAGGAAATGTGGGAGTCCACCGCGCACCGCGCTGCGAGCCTGTCGTGTCCCGTGTCAGGAGCAGGAGAGCCCCACCTGTCCCCCTGATCGTCCTTCCAAAATCCTGTGCAGGTGGGGACCCTGTCCTCGTCCCATCCCTCGTTTGGCGTGTCTGTTTTCTTTCTTTCTTTCTTTAACACAGGAAAACGAATTTTACAACGATCTTCCGGAAAGAATTTTACTCAAAACAACTCGGTCGTCGGGAAAGAATTCACGCGTACCACTCTTCCACAACCGCGCACAACACCGGGCACGGGATTGGCGCGCACTGGAACAGGTGCGAATACACCGAGTGTTGTGCTGGACAAGAAAACAAACCCGCGGGCTGGAGATAATCGCGCAAGGACCGGGGGGTGCACACTCACGCACACTGTGAAAGTCGTGATTTCTTGTTCGTTTGCAAAAATCTCGCACACTCACTCGCTCAATCAACGCCAACCAATGCCACGCGCGATGGCTTGTTTGGCTGAGAGCCACATACACTGAAAACTTCTCCAGCACCTCACTGGCACGGTTATTCATTTTGGTAATCATTTTGGGGGCGATCACTTTGGGGATCGTTTCATGGAGGCGCCCCTCCTTGCTTATCTTCACGTGCACCCCACATGATGCACCCCCGCTCGACGGTGCAACAGAAGAACGCCACCTGCTGATGGATGCCCTGAAGCTTGGCGGAAGTTGCACCGGCAAGGTACATCCATATTCTGGAGGGGGCCGAAAGGAGCTACAATACGCACTGCAAACCATAAGGCCACGATGGTTCCTCTTCTCTGGCCACAGCGATGAAAGCTCGATAACCATGACTTCAAGTGAGGGCAAAAAAGACATTGTTTGGAACAATGAAGCAGCCGATATTATTGGACGATACCGTTGCCTCGAGCTCGTGGTACTAAACAGCTGCACATCGAAACCGCTAGGCGACTTACTTGTAAAGAAAGGAGTGCCCTTCGTCGTGTGCTGGAGCACAAAGATCGACGACAAAGCGGCGCGAATCTTTGCCAAGAACCTCTTCTTTGATCTGAGGAAGGGATTCCGCAAATGCGCCGCACGTAACGCCGCACGTGACTATTCCCATGCCTTCGAACAAGCAAAATCTGTTTTAAAAGTGGACTGTGAC